CGTCGCCAGGTGTTTCATCAGATTTGAGGTGTTACCTCCTTTGCACAGTATCACAGTATCACCTTAAAGCACTTGTTGCAGACTGTTGAGTTTGCATCTTTTGCTGTGAAGTACAGCCAGACTTTTGACTGCTTCGCCTTGGGCATTTTTAATCTGTAGCTCTGCAATAAAAGACTGTAAGTACCTGGACCCGCCTACTATCCTCGGAAAGGTAAAATGATTGGCTAGAATCCAAAGTGTATGACATCTCAAGAAAAAAAAAAGCACCGAAACCAAGCACCGAAATGTGCGCTGCTTTTCGGCCTGGTTACTACCGTTTATGTCAGTGCCATAATGGCACCGGATACTGGTACCCATCCCTAGTTAAGACTTTACCACAGATACATCCATGTTTACTCTTTTGATTTTAGATCATTTGCTCTGTCTCATTTGTGTTTCCCCCATTTTTGTCATCAATGAAAGACTCTATAACATTTCAAAATGGAAAAGGTAAGGACACAACTTCTCACTACAACGCTGTCCAACAGGAGCTTCATGATGTCATGAACAATATAATACCGTGACTGTGAAGATGACCTCAGACAGTATCAGAGGCCATTTTTCATTTTTAGTCTTTCAGACAAACACTGAGGAGTTTTGGACACATCCACAGCTGATCTGTGACTGCATGAAACATTATTTTTCTTCATATGTTTTAGATGTTTTTCTCAGGCATAGTGAGATGCTTTCAGTGCTGAACTGGTCCTTCGGATGTTCGGCAGCAGGAGCAGAATCAGCTTTCTGAGTCTGAGTGTCACTGCTCTCTGATGTTTTTACTTCCTGTCCTTCTGATTAGTGATTTATAGGTGGAACACATATTTGTCCTCTTCGTGTTCTGAACCTTAATCGTCTTTGTTTATTGTATTTAGGGAGCAGATGGAGAACACTAATGTGAAGAAGATCATTCAGGATATTTATGAAGCGGACAAAGCTCAGGCCAAAGCTAACAACCTCTTAGAGAGAGCGAGCAGAAACAAAGATGAGACCAAAGACAGGATCCAAGATGTAAAACATTCAAAATATTTCACATATGACCTCTGAGACGTTTGTTCAGCCTGATGCTGATGTGCTCGTGTTTGTTTTCTGTTTCAGGCTGAAGACACACTGGACAACATCGAGGCGAGGCTCATGATTCAGACCAAAGACCTGCAGAAAGAGATTGAAGCTATGAAGGACAAAACTGAAGAGA